TTTCTCAAGGGGACGACCCCCAAGGAACTCTTACTTCCCCACAGTTTACCATCATTGGCAAAAACATCTCATTCCTGATTGGTGGAGCTTGTAATGAATCGTTCTCTCGTGCAGAGTTGATTGTCAACAGTTTGGTGAGCAGTGTCTCATTCTCTCTCCGTGTTGGACATTGAATCGTTATTACCTAAGTTAGAAATAACTTTAACGTTTATTTAAGTCAGTCTATGGTAAGGTCTCCAATAAATGGCTCGATACCAACTGAACAACAGAACAAACAACAGAAACAATGCCCCTAGCCCTAGACCAATAACAGCCGCTATAATAATACAACAATAGCAGCTAACGAGAACTGCTACAATTCTGGTGATAAAAGCCCTCTAACAATGCCTCAACAGAAACACAAAATTAGCATGAGCTGTCCCGTTTAATAATTGTCCCCTTTGCTTCTCGCGGTGTTTTCTAAACGAAATAGAGTCGTAAAAAGAGTAGCGAAAAAGTAGTAATTTATTCTCATTGCATACCCCATTACCCCATCGTGCTAAACTAAGTTGTGGGAGGAGTCCGTGACAACTGTGGCAGCTAAGGTATGCAGCGAGAAACCAGGGTACCGTCGTCGACCGGTATTAGGGGAGGGGTGGGGCGACAAAAGCTTCCTCCACTCAGCCGGCAAAATGACAGTGAATCGAGGTAAAACCCCGGAATTCAAACGAAGAACCATAAAGCACCAGGGATTCAATCCAATTACGCGATGCGCCTATTATGTATGCAGTAAAAATAGTCGTGGAAACACGCTACTGCGACAAATTTTCCCACAGTATCCCTTTTTATCCAAAATTCTACTCGTGGTTTCCTCAAATACATGCCTTTTTTCTCGCCAGATGTGTAATCTCGCTCTAGCCCCACTAAAAAGAGGGCAACGTATGTTTTTTCCTCAATGGAATATATATATTTGCCTTCGTTTTGCAGGTTGTCAGAAAAGCTTCATCCAGGTTTTGCACGGAGGGAATGACTCGCACGTTCTGGGACGTCGCGGCTTTCATTGGACAACGCGCTCGCGTCAAACTGGTTGACTTCAGCTCAGACGATTGGGGTCACATTAACTTTGACGATTTGAGAGGCGACATGAGCTGTGAATAAGACCTGAGATATATCGCAACATATGCAAGTACCTCCGGTGGACGGATCATTGCAAACCTTTAAGTGATATCAGATTTTTTCTAGACTCGATCTTTAAGCGAATACTATTGATAAACAATTTAGAAAAACTGAAAATGGCTTTGAAAATGAATTGAGAGTTCTTTTGTGGCTTAAATAAATCACTTCATTAGTTGCGGGATGTTTAAAGGATTTTGCTTAAAGTCTGTGCGACATAATATTAAGATGTGTTTTTCTTGATAGCGGAGCTCCGGAAGTCCAAAGGGCCGCCAAACGGAGCCCCATACTCATATAGGAAAGAAAAGGTAACCCATGAATTGATTTTCTCATGGTTATCGTGGCTAGCGGTATTGCTCGTTGGCGCGTACGCACGACGACGATGATCGAGACGCGCAAGATGGCGGCCGTACTCTAGCTAATAGCTAGGTTGACAGAGACATGCATCCTTGGTTTATAGCGTCCTTCTTTGATATTGGACATCCCTGGTATGGTCAAGTGACACCTGTCAAAACAATGTATCCGCAGACCAGTATCGCGTGACCATATCACGGGCTCCAATTTACAACTCATCGAGGTCACGTGTTTTTTCGAAGTTAGGTTGGATCGCAGGCTCGTGTCAGGTTAACTTGTTGTAAACAGGGCCTTTATCGGGCTTTGAACAGCCCGGCCATGTTAGACTTGGCTAAATCTATATATTAGTTAAGGAGTTTTATGGCTGTTTTTGTCGATTCAAAGCTTATATTGTATTTTTCTGCGTTGCTGTTGACACGCTATCAAACGTCTTATTTTATGATAAATTTTAGTCTGTTATCTCTCAAAATTTCAGGATGTTGCTTTGTTTTGTCTATTGCAAGCGTGGTTATGATTGAATACAATGATGCAAGAGACCGCAAACGAAAATGCTGCTGGTGTACGCAGGATCTGTAAAAGATCTGATCAGCCAATAAATAGAAACATGGCAATAAAACAAGTCTGATTACTACGTAGAAAGCTTAAAGGTACAATGACATGATAGAGTCCAAAGTAATAGCCAAGAATTGCAAGCATGGACGGCTGTTTCGACCTTGTTGGGTCTCGTCAGCACGGTGCAGCAGAAAGTGAAGCAATCGGCTGGCTGATCGATCGTCCACCACTTGCGCAATGATAATGACATCAGATGAAACTCAAATCCAAATGTTTGCGAATTGGCCAATTTCACAATGTCCTCATCGCGGCAACAACATGATATTCTGGATTTTGCCTATTGTCCATTGTCAAGCGTTTTGCATGTCACATGGGCTAATTCGCAAACATTTGGATTTGAGTTTTATCTGAGGTCATTGCCATGTGCATTGGGTGGACGATCGTTCATGTCGTTGTCCCGTTAAGCTTTCTATGTAGTTATCAGCCTTGCTTTATTGTTATGATTGAAGCAGGTAATTATGTAATTAAACGTATCAGCTTGCTCGCTGATACGATATCGAAAGGCTGAAGGAGGAGATCGGGAGGTTTCCATGGCAACCATGTTTTGACTGGCTGTTTTACCCTCGTTTGCTTTCATTTTTCGTTTTAA